AAGAGAGAGAAAGAGAGAGAAAGAGAGAGAAAGAGAGAGAAAGAGAGAGAAAGAGAGAGAAAGAGAGAGAAAGAGAGAGAAAGAGAGAGAAAGAGGAAAGGAAAAAAAAGAAAAAAAATGAAAAAGAGAAGAAAGAAAATAGAAAAATGAAAAAGAAAAAAAGAAAAAAAAATTAAAAAGTGAAAGAAGGAGAAACAAAGAAGGCTGAAAGCAACACAGCCTGAAAACAACAACCAAACACTTGTTGCCCTTTGCTGAGACTCACCAGGGGGGCCGTAGAGCAGGCAGCCTTTTGGAGGGATAATTCCCACACGCTGGAATAGTTCTGGGTTTGTAAGTGGCAGTTCAATGACCTGGGAAGGGACAGAGAACAAACTGAGCCTCTGAATTTTAAAACAGGTAATGATGCACCTGCCAGCCTGTTTCTCATGTATCTGCATTTTTATTTATTGGCAGCATTTTTGTGTGAGAAACAGTTTAATAAGAAAATGTCAGAGATCCTATGGATCAATCCACTTCCATGCCCTGGCTCTGCAATTCCTGCTTCCTCTCAATGCTCTTTGCTCAAATCACATCCCTACTGTCCTAATTCCATTCCCCAGAGCAATCCTGGCAGTTTTTGAGTAAAATTCCTCCCACTTGACTTCAAGGCACTCCCACAGCCTAAAGGGTCTTGGATCCTTTAAACCCTCTTCTCTAAAGGATTATTTTAATTTTAATCCCAATCCAAGCACTTTAAATGAATGATGGAAAGCACTGATCAGAGAGGATCCTTGAAGAGCCCCATGGTGATGGAGGACAAACATCAGGAAGGTGTTTTTGTCCTGAGAAGCTCCACTGAGAGCTCAGTGGCTGGTGGGGGTTTGAGGCACTGGTACCTCCCGTAACTCCCGGATTTGTTCTGACAAGCCTCCGATCTCAGAGTAGGAAACATCTCCTGGGTCTTCATGAGACATGTTATAAACCAGTGGATCCACTTCCCTGGGCAAGTATCTGCAAAACAAGAGTTAAAAAGAGATATTTTTATTGTGTAGACATTTTTATAAATTCATAACATTATTCCCATAAATTTTACAGCAATATGAACATTATTTCTTCTCTTCCCACCTTACAAGCTGAAAAAACAGAAAAACTCCAAACCTAGAAAACTTTTTAAAGTTTTAAAACACAGCTTAAAATATGGCTGAAAATAATGTAATTATTTTTCTAAGGAACAATCAAATTCTTTTTAAATCATATAAAACAGATGCACAAGTCTTCTCTCAAATAACTGTCCTTACTTAAGCATTTGCTTTGCAGAAAATGTTTACAAAATATTGCACAAGTGATTATTCAAGTCTTTGTGTAATGTTTTCCCCCCTTTTTATGATAGGAGCAGAATCCTACCTCATAATAGTCAGAGTGGTCATGTCCAGAGCAACTCTTGTCCCTGGCTTCAGCTTACTCTTGTCAAGCTAGTCCCAAAAAAAGGAATTCTGTTAGAACCCCACTCCAACACAATCCCTGATTTTAGCCAAGATGTTCACTGGAGTTTGCACTCCTTGATCCATCACACACAAGAAAAAAAACAAAGCTGCAGAGTGACACACCAAGCAGTCATTAACTTACCTCCACCACTTTTAAAACAAAGGCTGTTTTCTAGTCCATCATTAATTTTTAATTTTGCTGCTGTCAATCTGACTGCATCAGTGGGATCCAATCCTCCCCTCTGCTCCACACAGGAACAGCTGTTTCAGACTAACCAAACAACCCTCATAAAAAGTTGAACGTTTTCTTGTGCCATTACTTCCCTTCTTTGAAGTCAGCTGTCCAATTATTAGTTTTTCACCTCAGATGCCTCCTCACCTGCCTCAGCAGCTTTTGCCTGTTTATTTCACTTTTATGGGATTTTTAAACATATTCCACCTATTAAATTTTGCTGCAATTAAAAGAGGATTTTGAGAACCCTTTTCCAGGACAGCTGCAAGTTTCCCATTGTCCCTGCTGGGGGATTTATAGGGTCCTCCCTTGCCACGTGGGTTCTTGAGCCTCTGGAAGGGTTTAGGATCAAGGTGTCCCCCCTCCCTCACTGGGGTCACTACTGAGGCCTCTTTCCAGCTTCCTTATCCAAAGACCTTTGTAACAGCTTGGAATTCTCTCAGATTCAACTCTGCCCAACAGACTGAAGTTATTTTGCAGTGAGAAGAAAACAAAGAGAAACCACTTGACCTTTTTAGCTGATGCACTTGAGATAGGGAAGTAATTTTGCTCCCACTTAAACAGCCTTGCTCTATTCCCTCCTGAGCAGCAGCAGCTCAGCCACGAGGGCTTTGATCAAAAACTCATTCTTCTAGTTCAGGAGAAATTGTTTCTCTGTGATATTTTGACATTTTGAAAACAATAAGGGGTTTGTTTTTGGTTTGTTTTTGAACCTCTGGGAATAAATCAAGGATCTTTTAAGATAAAAGAGGGTTTTTAGTGAAGAATAAACTCCAAAGTTTGTCTTGGATGCTGGTTCATCCAAGGACAACCTATTCCTTAGATTCACCTTTGTTTCAACACAGAACATCAAGATTACCTCACATGCCCCAGAGTGGAATTGTTTACTTATGTCCCAAAATTCTGCAACGAAAATCAGTTTCTCTCCAGAAAGAGAAAAAAAAATAAAGATATGGATAAAGATAATGGCTTTAAACACAGAGAGAGTAGATTTAGATGGGAGACTGAGAAGAAATTCCTGGCTATAAGGGTGGGGAGGCCCCCCAGGCTGCCCCTGGATCCTTGGAAGTGTCCAAGGCCAGGTTGGAGAGGGCTTGGAGCAGCCTGGAATAGTGGAAGTTGTCCCTACCCAGGGCAGGGGGTGGAACTGGATGGACTTTAAGGTCCCTTCCAACCCAAACTATTCCATGATTATGAAATATGATGAAATAACATTAAATCTAAAACTCAGCAGTATGACAGCAACAGGCACAGCACAGCAACGGTGACATTACACAATTATGAATTTTCATAATGATTCATTTTCAGAGAGTCCAAAATCAGGCAGAAGGGCAGAATTTTGACTCAATAAAAATCATAAAACACATGCAAGGACCTGGGAATGCTGTAAATTTTTTTTTCCACCAGGAGACTACAAAGGGAGAGGGGAGCAGGTACCAATGTAAACAATGTGATATGCACATTACAGAAGAAAAAAACACCCCATTAGGGACCCAGTGAATGAAATGCAATGTTAATATTCCACACCAAAGCCAATTTTAATGAATATTCACACAAATCAATTACCTGACGGCGACAGCCAACCACATATCTTGGTCCATTTGTAGCCTTCACAATGACTGGAGAAAGAAAATGGGAGAAAAAACCCAAATTTACTCAATTCACCATCTGAGTTGTGCTTCTGAATTATACAGAATGTTTTTCTGCCAATAATCTGATCACCAACACTTCAATTCTTTATTTTTCCAAAACTTTAACAAGATTTAAACTTTAAAAGGTTATTATTTTGTGGCTACTCCATCCCTGGAATTGTTGCATGCCAGGCTGGACAGGGCTTGGAGCAGCCTGGGAGAATGGAAGGTGTCCCTGCCCATGGCAGGGGTTGGAATGAGATGAGCTTTAAAGTTTCTTCCAACCCAAACCAGCCCATGGTTCCATGATTTTCACAATCTCAGAGAATCTAACAGTTCAGTGTACTTACACTTCTCCTCTGTCAGCTGTTTAAGAACCTCACCAACAATCTGTAAAAGAGTAAATACAGCATTAACCTCATGAAAAATTAACATTGCAGGACTCAGACACTCTGTAACCCACCCCTAACCCATCAGCTCCTGATGTCAAAGCCCCTGTTTGTTCTAGCTGGACTGTTCCCACTTTCTTTTTCTTGATGCTAAAAATGGATGTAAAGATTCCATCCAGGCAGATTCAATGTCAACAAGCAGCACAGGATGCCAACACCTCATTTCCTTCACTTACCTGCCCAACGCTCTGCAAGGCCTTGAGATCATTTTCTGACTTCTCATACTGCTTGGTGAGTTCTTTCAGCTGTTCCCTTACTAGAAGAGGAAAGAAACACAGGATTTTTGGTAACCTTCAACCCCATAAAAGCACAGGACCAGACCCTTTTCCAGCAGCAAAGCTGCAGATAGAGTGAGACTGGGAGAGCAGTAAGGACCCTTGAGGCAATGTGGAGAAGGGAACAGAGCTGGGGAAAGGTCTGGAGCACCAGGAGAGGCTGAGGGAGCTGGGAAGGGGCTGGAGAATTCCTGAGGGAGCTGGGAAGGGGCTCAGCCTGGAGAAAAGGAGGCTCAGGGGGGCCCTTGTGGATCTGCACAACTCCTGACAGGAGGGGACAGCCGGGGGGATTTGGGATCTGCTCCAGGGAACAGGGACAGGACAAGGGGAAACAGCACAAGCTCTGCCAGGGTAAGTTTAAATTGGATATTAGGAAAAAATTTCTTAAAGGAAAGGGTGGTCAGTCACTGGGGAAAGGCTGCCGAGGACGACAGTGGAGTCTCCAACCCTGGAGGTGTCCAAGGAACTCCTGGACTTGGCACTCAGTGCTCTGGTCTATTGACAAGGTGGTGACAGTCACAGGTTGGTCTCGCTGATCCCAGAGATCCTTTCAAACCTAAATGATTCCGTGATCTGTGACTCTCCGGAGCCCTCGCAGGGGGACCAGGACCCATCCGCGGCACCGGCAGCGCCGAGCCCCGTCCAACCCCGGCTCCCCGGGGCCCGGCCAGGCCCATGACGAAGCGCGGGCAGCGCCGCGGCCGCCGCGCTCCCTCTCGGGGCTCCGCGGGGCGCTCAGCGGCGCCCACCCCCCCATCCCCTCACCGCCCGCCGTGCCCGCGCTCACACTCCTTGAGGCGGCCATCGATCTCCTTGTGCTCCAGCAGCTTCTTGCGGTAGTCCTGCAGCGCCTTGTCCCTGGGGTCCGCCATGATGAGCAGCCGCCGCTCATAGGGAATGCCGGGAAGGGCCATGGCGGCGGGGGGCGCTCCCGCCCGGCCCTCAGCGCCGCGCAGCGCCCCCTGCCGGCGCGGAGGACCGCGGCTGTCGCGACACGCGGCTGCTGTCGTGAGGGGCGGCGAGGGCCGCGAGCATCGACAGCGATGGGCACGGGCTGTGCCAGTGCTCAAAGAGGCAGCGTGGGTTAAAGAGCGGCCGCGGAGTGTGGATAAAAGGCGGAGGAGAGAGGTGGGGAGACACCATGGAGGTCAGGGAATCATGGGATGGTTTGGGTTGGAAGGGACATTAAATCCCATCCCATTAAATTATCCCATTAAATTCCATCCCATTCCACCCCTGCCATGGCAGGGACACCTTCCACTGTCCCAGGGTGCTCCAAGCCCCAGTGTCCAACCTGGCCTTGGACACTTCCAGGGATCCAGAGGCAGCCACAGCTGCTCTGGGCACCCTGTGCCAGGGCCTGCCCACCCTCACATCAGGAATTCCTTCCCAATCTCCCATCCATCCCTGCTCTTCTTCTTGGGAACCCAAGAAAAATGTTGGGGTTTCACTCCCATCCCATGGTGTGTCCCTATGGCTCTGCAAGGGACCTAAGTCAAATTCCAGTTGCTCCCTCAAATCCTGCTTTACCCCAGGAGCTCATCCCAAAATGTGTGCCAGGGAAGGCTGCTGGCATGGGGAACACTTTTGGCTGCTGGCACTGCCAGGGAGGGATCACACACCTTTTCCTCATGCTCTGCCTCGGAGTGGATGTACTCTGGGTGAAAGCTGGAAGGTTTGGTGTCCCAGGATCCCAGACTGATTTGGGCTGGAAGGGATTTTAGATCTCATCTTATTCTGACCCCACGGGCAGGGACACTTTCCATTATCTCAGATTGCTCTAAAGCCCATACAGCCTGTCCTTGAAAACTTCCAGGATGGGGCAGCCACAAAAAAAAAAATAAGCTTTTGGAATTTAAATCTGCTTCATGATTTTGAGGAGTAAAGAATTGAAGTATTGCTGATCAGATGATTGGCAAAAAACCACACTGGATAGTTCCAAACCACAACTCAGAAGGTGAATGAAGTAAATTTTATTTTTCTTTAATTTTCTCTCTGCAGTCATTGTGAAGGCAAAAAATGAACCATGATACAAATGGACCAAATGGCTGATGCTGTCAGGTAATTGATATGTGTGAATATTCATTAAAATTTGCTTTGGTGTGGAATATTAGCATTGCTTTTCATCCACTGGGTCCTTAGTGGGGTGTTTTTTTCTGTAATGTGTACATCACTGTTTTGTATTGCTACCTGCTCCTCTCTCCCTTTGCAGGTGGTAGTGCTGCAACTTCCTGGTGGACACAAAACAACCCACAATATTCTCAGCACTTTGCACGTGTTTTATTACTTTTGATAATGTCAGGAGACTTAATCCACAAACACCAGATGTCCAAAAGGAGAGAGAGGAGTCCTTTTACTTTATTCGAATAAAGGGAGAGGCCATGGGGCATTCCCCTGGGGTCTCTCGAATTTTTTGAGGACTCACCTCCCTTTTTATCCCAGTTTCCCAGCCCCATGGGCTGAGGTACTTGAGAGGTCCAGACTTCCCAGAACACCTGATACCCAAGATTCCTCTCTAATGTACAACCCCCCTTTTTAATTTTTAATTCTTATGGAATTCATGGTTTTTTCCCCATTGATTCTTTCATCTTTCAATATCCAATTTCATCTTTCAATATCCAATTTCATTTCTCAGCAAACCTACAGTTTGTTTGCAAAGGCAAATATCTTTTTTCCATTCATCCATCAGTGGAATCTTTCCCATCGTTTCTTTTCTCTCTCAGCGCTGGTTTTATCTGCCAGCAGACCCACAGCTCGTTTTGTAAAGACAAATCCGACATTCCTCTCAAGAGGTACAGACTTCCCAGAACACCTAATGTATAACCCTCCCTTTTAATTTTTAATTCTTATGGAATTCATGTCTTTTCCCCATTGATTCTTTCACCTTTCAATATCTCATTTCATTTCTCAGCAAACCCACAGTTTGTTTGTAAAGGCAAATATCTTTTTTCCCATTCCTCCATCAGTGGAATCGTTCCCATTGTTTCTTTCATCTCCCACTGCTAAAAAAATAGACCCACAGCTTGTTTGTAAAGACAAATCCGTCATTCCTCTCAATAATAAAACTATTTTTGATCTGATCTGGGTCTGTCTGACCCGAGGGGTTGAGCGCAGGTTGTGGGGGGCTGCACCCCGAGTTCCAGAGCCGGGAGCGCTGCCAGCCCCCCGACCCTGCGGCGTGACTCACACTGCCGGCAAGTGTGACGGTGTCTTGGTCACTGTGTGTCCCCGGTGTGTCCCTGTTATAAATGAGAGACAAAAGTCTCGATATTCAGCAAAATTTAGATTGTTTTATTTGATATAGACAGAGCAAGCAGCGCGCTGGGGAACGTGAAGGGTCACTGCCCACACCACGCCCCATCAAACCTTGGTTTGCAGTCTCTTCTCATACTGTGGTTTCCCGCTGTAATCAACAATTTTTGGTTTTTTAGCTCTCCCAATTTTGCCAGGTAAGCAGTGGTGGTCGAATAAACATCCTTATCCCAATTCACAAAATCTCCGGGCGATACTCAGTTTCACAGATAACCATCTGGTCTTTGTAGATAACCACCAGCGAAATTCTGGAAGTCTGGTCCTTAAAATACACAGCACTGATCAGACAAACGCAGGAAGAGCTATCGGGATGTCTGATTTTGGGCTATCGGGATGTCTGATTTTGCAAGCTGGTAGTAGATGCAACTTATTTGGAAAATACAACATAACATAACATTAACATAACATAACATAACATAACATAACATAACATAACATAACATAACATAACATAACATAACATAACATAACATAACATAACAAGGTGATTTTAAAGAGAATTATTTTATCATACAATTTCCTTTATCTAGTGCCCATGCTTCACTTCAGAGCTTCATATTCTGGTTTACACAAGCCCCAATGCTTTTGTGATCAACAGGAATCTTTTATCAATTATCACAGTGCCGCCGTGTCCCCGCCGTGTCCCCGCTCCGTGCGGTTTCGCTCGTAGCCGGCGGCGGCCGCGCCCCGGGCGGCGCGGTGCGAGCGGGGCGGCCCCTGCGGCCCTCGGTGTGACTCAGTGTGACCGTGTCGTGTCCGGTGTGTGTCCCCGCGGTGTCCCCGGGCCCTGCCCGCCCCGTCCCGCCCCGTGCGGGTTCGCTCGTAGCCGTAGCTCGTAGCGGGCGGGGCGGTGCCTGCGGTGCTGCCGGGGCCGAGCGCGGAGATGGCGGCGGGGATCGTCCTGCTCGGGCTGGGGCTGCTGGCGCTGCCCTGCGGAGCCGAGCCACGCTGCTTCTGCCAGGTGAGCACTGCCCTGCGCAGGGGGTGGGCTCGGTGCCCCTCCGAGAGGGGTTTGGGTGGGTTCGGTGGGAAGGTTTGGGGGTGTCCAGCACGGGAAGGGCGTGGAGAGAGAGAGACTCTTCTCTGCTCGGGAGTCCGGAGATGCTCCGAGAGCTGCAGGAGCTTTCCTGTGTGGAAAGGCTGAGAGAGCTGGGGGCGTTTAGTCTGGGGGAGAGAAGGCTCCGAGGGTGTCTTGCAGTCTCTTCCAGGGTCTAAAGGGGCTCCAGGAGAGCTGGAGAGGGACTGGGACAAGGGATGGAGGGACAGGACACGGGGAATGGCTTCCACTGCCAGAGGGCAGGGATGGATGGGATAGTGCGAAGGAATTCCTGTCTGAGAGGGTGCTGAGAGGATGAGATAGAACCCCCAGAGAAGCTGTGGCTGTCCCTGGATCCCTGGAAGTGTCCAAGGCCAGGCTGGATGGGGCTTGGTGCAAGCTGGGACAGTGGAAGGTGTCCCTGCCATGGCAGCAGGTGGGACTGGATAAGTTTTAAAGTCCCTTCTAACCCAAACCATTCCAGGATTCTGTGATTCTCATCCATGCCATCCGAACTGTATTCTCTCCCTGCTCCCAGCAGAAGAGGGGAGTGCTCCAACTTGTTGAGCATTTCTTTCCCCAGCTACCCAAGTGCCTCTCCTGGGATGTTTCAGGGATATCATTGCTATCCCTGGGAGCTGCTTCATCCTTGCTGTTCTCCCAGCTCAGCTGTCCAGGAGAGAGCATGGCTGCAGCAAGCTGCTGCCAGCGTGCCCTGCCATGTCCAGGTGTGACCCTTAAAGCTCTTCCAGGGTTAATTCCCTTTGCTGGTGTGCCAGGTTTGTCACTGTGCACTCAGTGCAGCTTCCATTGAGGTACAGTAATGACAGAACTGGGTACAGTCGTTCAAGCATCTGCATTTAAGGAGGAGATCGCTCTGCAAACTTCTAAAACCACTGTGCCCAAGCAAAGTGGTTGCCCCTGAATCCCTGCAAGTGTCCAAGGCCAGGCTGGATGGGGCTTGGAGCAGCCTGGGTTAGTGGAAGGTGTCCCTGCCATGGCAGGAGGTGCCATAAGATGGTTTTTGAGGTCCCTTGCAACCTGAATAATTCCTGTTTTTGCAAGATCAAGGGGTGAAGATGTCACAATGTCTTTAGCACTTTATTTTGTTGCCTTTAAAAACAGGAAGCTTTTAGAAAGGCTACTCTTGCTGTATTAACTTTCTAGTCCTTAAATGTGGGTTGGGAATTGAGAGTGGAGAAAGAAGACAAATGGAATTACATTTTTGGCTTTGGCTTCTGGGGTGGCTTTTGACACTTTCAGCTTCCTGTGGAAATAGTAAATAGAAACTTTGCTGATAAAGAATTGAAAAACATGCATTTAGATTCTGGATCTCTGCAGGGTTTTTCCTTGCAGCTTCCTGTAAGCAGGGAAGTTTGTCTCCTAAGGATTGAATGTTGAGTCAGGAGTGTGGAATGGGATAAGGAGCCATAACCACTAACTGAACTGGCATTCTGGCATGGCAGTGACTGCCAGGCTCTTTTCCTTGGGCTGGAGGAGCTGGTGTGGTCCTTTGTGCACTGTTGGGTGGTTGCAACACACTTTTCATTCTGTGGAGCAGCTTGGTTTTCCCTGCAGATGTTTAGGTCAAGATTTTTTATTACCTTTAGGAAAAGGT